ACCGTCGATTCGACTGAAATGCTGTCAAAACTAAGACGATGGGCAGAAGTAACAGTAACACGTAATGCGTGTTATCCACATTGAGTGTTAGCCGATTGGAATCCAACCAATTTTCTACTTTGGTTAGTCCTTTTTCTGCTAGTTCTTTTACTCGTGACCAAGAGTCTGTCACAAAAACTACCGCGGTATCGTCTGCATATGAGATTACGGAACCCCCATCAACAACCAAGTTTGTTAAGGAGTTTATATATATAAGGAAGATGATTGGACCCATAACGATGCCCTGTGGTATTCCTATTTTCAATTCTAAAGGTTCACTCAAGACATCACCAATTTTGCAGATTTGTTGCCTCTTCACCATGTGACTTTCGAAGATTTTCAATATAACGCCTCTGATACCATAAGCCCTCAAAATTTCCAATAACGAGTCATGCGCAATAGTATCGAATGCTCGAGCTAGATCAAGGAAAACTGCGAGACATTTTTTACCATCATCTAGGTTTTGGGTCACCATCTTTGTTGATAATAATACTGCATCTGTTGAGCTACGGCCCCTCACAAATCCAAATTGCATTTTTGACAGAATTTTGTTTTTTTCCAAAAACTTCATCAGTCTGTCTTTTAGACGTTTTTCGAATATTTTGGCAAAATTGTTTATCACACTAATAGGGCGATAATTTCCTGTGGAGGATCTGTTTCCCGCTTTATAGACCGGCGTCACGACAGAATCCTTGAATTGGCTAGGTACGTGACCATATTGGAAAGTTAAATTTATAATATGTGCAAGTGGTTTGAGTAAATACAAATGATACTGTTTTATAATTTTTCGATCAATATCATCAATTCCTTTGGAGCTGTTGCTTTTTAGAGAGTTTATTTTTTTGATAATTTCATTTTTATAAACAGGTTTTATAAACATTGAAGTAAGTTGAGACCATTATTCACAAAATAGTTATTGCAATATTCTGCCATGTCCTTAGTATTTTTGAATGTTGTATCGTTGTTTTTTATTTTGAAATCATCATTTTTTTCTGAATTGGTTTTGCCTGAAAGTTCATTCACTAGTTTAAAAATTTTTTTTATGTCGTTTTTATCATTTTCAGTCTTAGAGTCGTAGTATTTGTACTTACCTTTATTTATTGATGAATTCAGACGATTTCTATAGTTTCTGTATTTTTCATAATTCTCATTACTCGAGTTAAAACCAAGCTGCTTCTTCATTTTATCTCTATGTTAAAGAGAACAGACTATACCAGGAGTAATCCATAGTTTTATTTTACTAGTTTTACAATATTTCATGGTCTTTATTTCTGTGTCTGAATACAAAATTGAATTTATAATTGACAAGAAGTTCCCCACAGCCAAATCCGCATCATCCGCATTTAAAACAGTGTTCCAGTCTTGCTTGTCAAATGAATCATGTAATTTAATATGATCTATATTATATGTATACAGCCTTTGTATGTCGTTGAGCATTATTTGTAAGTTTGTTAGGAGAGCTTGAGAGGAAATTTACCATGATGGGTGAACAATGGTTTTATCGCAGTTTATAATGTACGAATTGTAAACCGCCGTCATTCGTTTTTTCTTCAGAAAGATGTGATCCAAACATGAGTTATGATAATCTGTTATGCGTGTAGGACCATTTATAAGTAATAATAATAATAATAATAATAATATTTATTTAGCTGAAGCTATACAAAAATCTACATATTTGAACTGTCAATTTTTAATTATATACCTATTTCATTATTTAAAATATACTTTCTAAGATCACGCTTAAATATTTTAATACTAGTACTTGTTTTCAATATATTTGGTAAATTATCGAAAGACTTAAATCCGTCATAGTATATGCTTTTTTTGGATTCAGAGAGCTTACAACTTTGGATATAAAAACCATCAGTATTTCTAGTTTTATACCCATGCACATCACTGACATATGTAACATTTTTTATTACATTACATGGAAGCAACTGATTTTTTATTTTGAATATGAATATAAATGAAGCAAAGAGTATTATTTTAAGTAATTATTATTAAGTATTATTATTAAGAGTAATGCCATATCTAATTCCACTTATAGAGATGAAAATTTTACTATATGTGACGCATGACCCCGGAAATTTAATGTTTTTAACATCCCCTACTTCAATACTCCTTTTTGTGAATATAATAACACCATCATTTTGATTGAAATCCCCGTCATTGCAAAACAAATTATATCCGGGTATGTTGTGCATCCCGAGATCAGAAATGTGCTACACTTCACTCATTACAATAACATCGCAAAAAAACATATCATATGCTTGAAGATAAACCAACAATTTATCGAAATTTTTGGTAATGCTGCGAATATTCAAATGTATTATATTTAATAGTTTTTTCCAAATCTATCCTTACCTTCAGTGAACTGGCATCCACAGATTCCTGGTTCAGTTTCTTATCAACTACATCTAATTCTTTCAGAATATCAATTTCCTGTGCTTTAGGGCCATTGATGCTTCCATAATTTATTTCACTTCTTTCAATGTCCATTAAATATTCGTGCGATGGACAGTTTCTACTACTTGCATTATGATCTGTTTCATAGTTGAGATTATATTTCGTATTAGCTTCTACACAATTGATACACCTCTTCATATTGTTAGTACATGTCTTACTATTGTGTTCCCTTGCACATATCTCGCATATCGTTTTGTTTCGGCATATTTCTTTTTTGTGGTAGTGTTTTTGACAATTGAAACATCTTTGAATTGAAAGATCCTCATAAATTTGATATCTTTCCCATTGAAGAAAAAATTTTTTTCAACTGTAATGAATTTATTGAAAAGTCTGGGGGAACACTCCCCAAATATTGTATATGTTTTTACTCTGTCATTAAGTTTCAAGTACGTTCATTGAAATTCATCTTCCTTGTCTATAAACTGATTTTGTTCTCTTATGTGTTTTTCGATCAATTTCATATCTAACACTTCCTCAGATTGCCTTTTATATCCTGTTATCTTAAATCTGGGTTTCTTTAATGAATTAATTTGTATCTCATACTCCTTCAGCTTTTCTGTCATGTCTTTTCTTAAAATCTCTAAATCATCAGCTTTTTCGCATTTTATGAGTATACCACAGTTCTTTGTCCCTCTAGCTCCTCTGATTCCAACTTTTAGTTCAGACGGATTAATATTGATTCTCAAATCTTGTTTGGTTTTATCTGTACTTTGGTTTTTTTTAGGTTTGATTATCATGCTTGGGATATTTCCTGTTTTTGTGAGTGCTTTATGTGATTGTCCCTGTACTACTTCACTGAATGAGGGTTGAGTTACTGTGTTCTCTAGTTTTTGAATATTCAGCCTCAAAAGTGCTATTATTTCATCCTTGCTCTCTATTATTTTGATTTTGTCTTCTATTGTACTCTGTAATAGTGTATGGGTGTTAAATCTCACACATTTTGGGCATTCAAATTTCAGAATTCTTTCACCTTTCATTTCTAGAACTTCCACCTCGGATGAGGATAGATTTTCGCATCCTCTGCATATTCCCTGTTTACAATTGTCGCATCTCTATAATGTTTTATTGGCGATTTCGCAGACGACACACTGCATCTCGGTGATTCCGATGATTCATGAACACGGCATGAGCAGCCGCTTAGCAGATGTATCACTTTATGTACACTTCATATACGAAGAAAGAAATCTATCAAATTATGCAGAGTATAATTTCACTGAATATAAAGGAATTAATAAAATATGATGGATAAATTATAAAAGTTATTAAAATAGACCAACAATAAAATAATCGAGAAGGTGGCTTCCACTGTCGACCTTTTTGCCAATCCATCTTTCTTCTAGCTAGAAAGACCGGTACCTTCGTAGAGTCAGATGCCCCTTTCCAATCGGCATCATCGTCAACTTCTGAGTGGGTGATATTTTCACAGGATTCAGACACCTTCCGTGGTTTCTTCCGCTTATCTCGTCTGCCAGAACTACTGTCAGATAATAAAGCTTTATCAGTAGAAGTAAAAGGAGGCAATAGTTTAGTTACAGCAGAACGAATATTGAGGTTGACATCCCTTACTGTTTCCACTATCAGTGGAGTTAACTTCTTTATTAGTTCTGATGATTCTGGTTCATCGGTTTGTGCATCCGTGGCAGAAGAAGTAGTTGCTTTGCAATCGTGTCCATATCCATACGTGGGTCGTATTATGGAAGGTTGCTCCTCAGAATCCATGTAGTAGCCTGCTTTTGCAGGGTAGGATTCTCGAGCGTTGCCCGTACTTACCTGGGATAATACTTCTGTTTTATTTCCGTCCATCAAATGTTTTACCCCTTTTTCCCAGGGATCACACGCGTCTTTACTTGGTAAGACCAAGTTCCCCTGGGGTTTTAGAATATTTATATTTATAAGTTCAAGTTAAATTTTCATTAGTGAGGTTTTGTTCAAAATTCGAATAAAATTTTATAAATAATTGAGAATTTGAATTTAATTATTAATGAAAAACTAATTGAAAATTTTTAAAATTAAATTTAATCAATTCATTCGACTATTATGAAATTAAATGTCTTGATAACGGACTTTTGAAATTCAATTTCAGTTAATTATTCACATACATATTTATTGTATCAATATGGAAATTAATGAATTGTTATTTTGTAGTATGAAATTTCAATTATTGGAATTATTGAGGTTCAGTAAAAAATAATAGTCTTAACAAAATTTATATCAGTAGTTGCGGTTATACAATTAATGCAATTTGAATTTTTGGTTTTAATTAATTTTTTTTATTCAAAGCAGTTCTATATTTCAAGTGAAATTCAGTTTATTCATTTTTATTTTATTATTGCATGAAGTTAACAAATTATTTTAATAAGCTAGGATTAGATACCCCATTACAACAGTTTAACGCCAAAATTGGCTCTTCGGAACCAATGGGCTTGTTATCGATGTATATTACCCAGCATATTTTATTTTCCAAACTACTCAAATCATAAACAAACACACACCCATGCCTTCAGCGGGGCTCGAACCCGAGTTCTACCGCACCATAGTCGGGAATTCTACCGACTAAGCCAAATAATCAATATTTAAGCGCTCTGTGGTTAAAAAATTGGCGATATTTCAGTCTTTTCAGACGAATCTGTTCGATAACACAGGCCAACAAAATAAAAAAAAAACATCTGATTTTAGATGTTTTTAATGAGCCGATTCCAAAAATGCCACCAGATTTTTTCTATCAGCTCTAGTTTTTGAGATACACGTTACAGGTTAAATGATATATTTTTTTCTGATAAAGGACAACAAATAAAGAGATAAATATGTACTTAATAGTCAAAATAGAAATTTCCCAGAATGTAATTAGCCAAATGGATACCTGGAATTGTCCCTGACCCAATGTTCCTATACTAGGAACTACTCAATACAATGCTCTTAATTACTTTTATACCTGTAATTGCCTATGACCCGATCCTTCTATACCTGCTTGGCTGTACTTGATTTAGTACATTACTGAGTTTTCCCAAGTAAAGTTGTGCTATCATTTTGTGTAAATTTTGGTCGTTTTGTAGTATCAAGACACTAAACTGAAACAATGGCATCCACAAGCAGACGTACCTGTGTAAATCATCCCGATGTTTTTTGTTATGTGTGTGGTGAATACACTTTGAGAGAGAGCAGAAAAACGATTTCTGACTTTGTGAAAAGAGCTTATCTTGCCTATTTTGGCGTTCATTTAGGAGATCAAGATAAATCTTGGGCCCCAAATTTCATATGTAAAACATGTGTTGAACATTTGCGACAGTGGACAACTGGAAAGAGGAAGTGCCTAAAGTTTGGTGTACCAATGGTTTGGAGAGAACCGCGGAACCATCATGACGACTGCTATTTTTGTCTCGTTAATATTAAAGGCATAAATAGAAACAATAGACACAAATGGACATATCCTGATCTAGATTCTGCAAGAAGGCCTGTAGTGCATTCGGAAGAAATACCCGTTCCATCATTCAGCAGTCTACCTGAACTGACAGAAGATGATACAGAAACATCAACGTCAGTTGATGTTTATGACGAAGTTAAAAGAATTCAATCAGAAAACAACAGCGATTTTGAAGCAGATTTAGCAACTCCTCAGTGCTTCAATCAAGAAAAACTAAACGATCTTATAAGAGACCTGAATCTCTCAAAGGAATCCGCTGAATTACTTGCATCCAGATTAAAAGAAAAAAATCTACTTTTTCGAGGTACTAATATTACATTTTATCGTAAAAGAGATAAGGATCTGCTGCCTTTTTTCACTCAGGAAAATGACTTGGTATTCTGTAACAATATAAAAGGGCTCTTAGAAAAAATGGGTGTGCCTGAATACACTCCAGATGATTGGCGCCTTTTAATTGACAGTTCAAAACGTTGTTTAAAATGTGTTCTTTTACATAACGGTAACAAATATGGCTCAATTCCTATTGGTCATTCTACTACCATGAAGAAAGAATATGAAACAATAGCATTAGTTTTGAGAAAAATTAAATACGAAGAACATCAGTGGTCAATTTGTGTTGATTTAAAAATGATTAACTTCCTCCTTGGACAGCAGAGTGGTTATACAAAATATCCTTGTTTTTTGTGCCTTTGGGACAGCAGAGCTAAAAATGAGCACTGGTTCAACGAAAATTGGCCTTCACGAGATGTCATGATTCAAGGAATACAAAACGTGATCAACGAACCTTTGGTTTCAAGAGAAAAAATCTTACTTCCGCCCTTGCATATCAAGCTAGGCCTAATGAAATAATTGGTGAAGGCCTTAAATCGAGATGAAAATTGTTTTGGGTATTTTTCACGTAAATTTCCTGGCATTAGCACGGAAAAACTAAAAGCTGGTATATTTGATGGTCCTCAAATAAAGCAACTTGCTAGAGATCCACAATTCACCACATCAATGAACGAGACTGAATCTAACGCTTGGAGTTCATTTGTTAAAGTAGTACAAAATTCTCTTCGCAATCATAAAGCAGAGAATTACGTAGAATTAGTGGAAACTATGCTTTCAAATTTTAATATTCTCGGCTGTAACATGAGTATAAAAGTTCACTACCTCCACAGCCACCTAGATCGTTTTCCAGAAAACTTAGGTGATTGTAGTGAAGAACAGGGGGAAAGATTCCACCAGGATATTAAAACTATTGAAGATCGTTATCAAGGACGATGGGATAGCCACATGATGGCGGACTACTGCTGGAGCCTTCAGCGAGACTGCCCTAGTAAACTCCATTCTAGAAAATCGTATAAAAGAAAATTTTTATGTGATTAGTGACTAATGTAATTATGTAAATTAAGTTTTTGCAATAAATACTTAAATCCATGTGTCTTTGTTTTTTTTAACTGTCAATAGTAATATTATATATTATAACAGTTATAACGTAAATTATATACACAATTTTTTGAAAAAATCTCGAAAACTAGATCTGATAGACAAAATCTGAGAACTTTTTGACATTCTGCATCCAAAAATTACTCAGGAACAGTTAAAAAATCGCAGGCACCAAAATGTGTGTTGGCCTGTGTAATTGATAATACACGTTTTAATTTACTTCAATTAGAAATTATCGTTGTTTTTGAAAATTCTAAAAGGATCATCTTCTGAATTTTTCTGAAAATTTGAATCAGATCAAGGTGTAGTTTATATTTAAAAAGAAATGGGGTATAATAAATTTATTTTTTGATAATTTATTCAAAATTTTTAGAAATTGGTTTAGAAAGTAATTATATTGAATCATATTCAACGATAAAGCTTTAAAATATCGCCCGTCGCTTTCATTTTGGAATGAAATGAGTCGTAACAAAGTAGATTTACTGGAAAGTGAATGTAGAAGATCAATTTAGATATTGCATAAGTTTCTTATTTACATTAAGAAGAAAATTGTGAAATCATTTCAAATTGAATATAAAAATTTATTTAGAAAATTTCTATTCATATTTCTATTAAAATAATACAAAGTTTAATGATAAATAGAAAAAATTGATTTTATTATAGATTATTAGTATTGTAGAATGAAAATTTCGAATTATTAAAAAGGTTATGAAATTTTTCACCTTGTGTATCAGGGTTTATTAATTGAAAATTAATTATATAATGGAATATTCTGTAAGCATCTGAAGAAGTCGTTTGTAACGACGAAACGCGTCATGCTATGTAGTCAATAAAGTGTAAATCATAAGTTCTAGTGTTTGAATTTAAGTTATATTCAATGAAAATTAATTATTGAATTATATTAAACTCTTAGCTTAATGTTTCAAGATTATATTTAACAACATGTTTCGTGCGAGAGCTCATTTTCAAGACTAAAATACAGTAAGAAACGAACAACAAATTTATATCTATACAAAAGGATCATTCTGGTTGAACATGAATAGAGATAGATAAAGGATTAGAAGGAATAAAGTTATCCAGATCTGACAGATTATAATGTTTGATTAAAATAATAAAATGAAAATTGAACTGAAAAGAATTAATCCTAAAAAATCTTTATAAGAAAAATAAAAATGAAAGGGATATTATCTAAATTTCCATTAATCCCTAATCATTTCTATATCCTGTTTGTGTAAATATATTGAATGGATCAAAATTAATCTTGTTGTTAAGAGTTGTATTATATAATGTAATGAGAAAAATCGAGAAAGAGTAGCATTGACTACAGCAAAACAACGGTTTTAGATTACAACAGTTACAAGATGACGGTTGCTCCTCAGAAAGATATCTGACCTCAAGGTAATACATATCCTAAAAAAGCTAGTAAGAAAAAGAATGATAAATCCAATTGTTCGAGTTTGGGCAAATTTATAACTGGAAGACCTTTATATTTCGCGTCCTCTATGAATAAAAAGGCTAATAAAAATGAGAAAGCCCAATTAGCATATCGTTCGTAGTTTGTATTTCGACAAATATGTGAAATTTGATTGAAAGCTATATTAATATCAGGAAATAGTGTATCACTGAAAAACTTGCTGTTAATATTTGAATTATTGAATATATTCCTAGCAGGGACCCGAAATTTCAAAGATATGAAATATTTGAAGGAGAAGATAAATCAATTAGTGAGTTATTTAAAATTTGAGATAAAGAAGAATTTTTCGTATAGGTTTTATTATAATCAATTTGTCGTGAAGGTTCAAAATTCAATTTAAATGAATGCCATTATTCTAATTAATGAATATAAAATACAAAAAATTAAAGATTTTGAGGAAAATTTAAGAATCTATTTATAGATATAAAGTGACTTGAATTATTTGAATCTGCTAGAAAATTTTTGTATAAAAATTATTCAAATTAGTTTTTTTTGAAATCTTCATTTCTTCTGAAAGTTTTATCGAACTAAAAATGATTAACCTAAAACCTAAATTTGATGAAAATTTGTTTTAAATTTTCCATTTGAGGCAATTCTTGTTATATGAATAAATAAAATTAGTAATCTTCGAATAATGATTTGAAATGAAATATATGAGTCTAAGATATAATAAAATATTCCTATTATAATTCTAATTAATACAGTGTGAATTGAAATGAAAAATCCTAAAGATAAAGGATGTTTCAAAAAAACCAAAATTATTGAAAAATTTGATATTAAAGAGAATAAAAACAGGAATTTAATCAAAATATCAATTCTGGAGATTAATAATTAAGTAACCCATCTTTGAAGTTTCAAAAGAAATCTCATTTTTGATTAATAAGATTAATATTTCTCATTAGCATAATCAAATTTGCTATTTATGCAAAATACTGATTTTGCATAAAAATTTGTGATTATATTTGTGGCTCTAGTTCTATATAAGTCTCGTTCTTCAGTATGTGTATTAATGAAACTACTTTTGAGTATTAAGTATAAATTAGTATTAAGAATGACTATTAATAAAATCCGTATTAATAAAAAATCTGACATAGATAAATCTAAGCAACCTATATATAAATCTGATTGGTTCTTCTGATTAATGGCTCATATTTCATATCCTATTTACCAAAAAATCCACTCCCAAAACACATCTGGAAACAATTCACTTGAAAAAGTGAATTGAGAAATTCAGTCAGTGTCGTTGCTTCCTCCAA